AACGTACGTCGTCGTTCTTCCCTCCCCTCCTACCACTTACTTCCGTTCGTTCGTTCTTCTTCTTACTTACTTTACTTTCTTTGTTCTTCTTCTTCCTTCCTCTCTCTCTCTCTCTCTCTCTCTCTCTCTCTCTCCTCCCTTGACCAATCTTTTATTCCATTATTTTAGTCACTAGTTATATCTCGGCGCCCTCCCTGTACATTGTTGTGCTCTTCTTGTTATTCTCTTGGGTGCCATTTTAGAGTAGGTTGTATACCATTTCCTGCTTATTTTCTTATGCACCGACCCAACCCTGGTATATAAGGTCATGATTAATGGGAATACGGTTATGGGGTGCTCAATTGGAACTTTGGGTTAGCGACTTGAGTTTATGTGGGGGATGTTAGGTTTACGTGACATTTATAGGCCTTATGAGTGTCTATTAAAATACTTTTATTATAGTAAAATATAAACTCAGTAGAAATGTGGTCCCTCGAGGACCACACTAAGCGAATGATGTTTGCTTATATCGGACTGTGATTATCGATCTAGGTCAGTCGGTTGGAAAACCTTAGGTACTTGGGCATAAAGAATTAACCGATGAGGGTTTTGGATTAGCCCTTTATGAGGTCAGAGCTTATGCCTAGATAAGTGAATCGAGAGACTGTGTGACCCTTGTGTATGATGGTAGGCTTATTGAGACGGGGGCCAAAACATCATCCATATTCCATCACACAACATGCATATCGATAGATCGTTCAAAAAAGTAAATTATCCACCTTTTGGGTGAAGCGTATGCATGTGCGAGAGATATCCCAATGCACCATAGAGCTGTGGTCGCATCAGGTCGTGGTGACCTTGACTCGTCTCTAGGGGAGGACCTGTAATCCACATACTGGGATTGCGACCTAACTTTGGTGACCCGCTAATGAACCCCTACTTGAACTGTAGGCCATAGGAAACACTTGGTCAGTTCGATAACGCTAGTGTGGTATGTAGTCCACAATTGAAGGTGGAGTACCCCTTTACAAAATAAATTTCTAAAACTATATGGATTTTTTTCCCATCATATTAATTTAGATGTGTTCATTTTATTATTGAAATGATTTTAGTTTTATTATTTTAATTTTTATGAATCTCTCAATATTTTAATTATGACTTTTGGACTTACAAAAAAACAGTTATTGATTTTACGAAATTGTAAAAATTCAAATATATATTAATTCATTTTACTTAATTTTAAAACTTTTTATAAAATTCCATGGAGGCCCAAAATGCACATAGGCCCACCATGTGGCATGTGGGTGGGGGCCCACATGTGCCACGTAGCGGTGGCACACCCCACCCTTTGGATTCCTTTGGTAGCTTTGTGTTCAAGTTATTTAAATATGGAAAGCGTATCTTATGACATATGGTCAATTTGTAATATAGTAAATATTGAACATATTTTATTTATTTAAGATAGTAAATATTAACTTGATATTTCTTGATATATTATTCTGGAATATATGAGATGGATAATGCAATTTTATGGAATACATGATATCTTTAATGGATTTAACTTATTTAAATATATTGATGGGAAAATGGTTTAAGGAAATGGGAATAATGGTTCATGCACCTTCCATAATGTTGATGGTCCATATATGGAATGGATGACTCAGATCCCTCACCCCACAAGTCACCTTGATCAACGGTCCATATTCAATCTCAAGAAAGATGCAAACTATGGGGAACCCTAAAAAAACCCTATACCTAAATTTCATTATAAATAGGGGTGCTCTCCCCCGTCTCTACACACCTCTCTTTTTCCCATAACTTCTCTCTCCCACACACTCTCTCTCCTCCCTAGGGGCCATGCCCCTCTCTCTCCTCTCAAGCTTTCTCTCTCTAACCCTCTCTCTCTCTCCTAAGACCCATAGGGGGCACGCCCCAACCCTAGGTCTCATTTTTTCTCTCTCTTGATCTAAATATTTAAGGGTTGGAAAAATTAGGGTCTGAGCCTAATTATTTTGGAGTTAGGGTTTTGTAGAGATTTAAGGGTGGTTACCTAGTTTGGTCAAAATTAGCTCTCCCAGTTCGAGATTGAAGCTAGACCGTTGATCCCACGCCATTAGATGTGGTGACTCGGTGTGAGGTGTAATAAGTCCGGTTGAAGTAATCTCCGGCATCTTTTCTTTTATTTGTTTGTTCTTTTATTTTATATTCTCAAGCACAATATTAGATTGTATGAATGACATTAAGTAGTTGAAATTTATTTTATTGATGTGCCTTTTATTTTTGGAATATCTATTGTATGTAATAAGACCATCTGTGAGTGATCTTATTGCCAAAAACATAAGGGATGTATATTATTAAAAAAGAAAAGTTGTATTTCTTGACAAAATATCACATAGGTATTTCTTTCAAGGGACTTTTGTAGAAGTGCTTTGTGTGGTTTAGTCGTAGTCTTAGGCAGTCGAAACCTACTGGGTGAGGGCATAGGTTGTGCTTGGAGGTCTTGGTGGGTCATCCCTAGAAGAGGGAGGAAGGTGGTGGCTAAAAGAGGAGGAAGGTGGTGGCTAGAGGAGGAGGACAATTGGTGGCTAGATTAAATAGGGGTAGGGGTGGCAACAGGTAGGGTCAGGTCCAAAGTCCCCGAACCCAGACCCGAACCTGAATTGAATATGGGGGCCCTAGACCCGGATCCGAATTGATTAT